AAATTTGACATATAAATGTAATGATTATAATAAAAAATTTCATTTAGTTGACATAAATAATTTAATAAAAAAGTTTTGGACAAAAGATAGGTATCCAGATTGAAAATTATTAATTTTTGTTCCGATCCGATTAATAATTTTCAATCTGGAGGTAGCCGTGGTTAACTATGACATTGGGACGTCATACACCTCAGTCCCCCCGTGACCATGGGTGCTGTAAAGTGCTTGAAACGTCGGGAAAGTAAAATAAGTTAATATATGCGATAAAATCCGTAAAATTAGTTTTATTTAAATGTGTAGTGTTCGCGTAAATATAAGAAATCATTATTGGCTAAAAGATTATAATTTCATTTTTAATTTCAGAAATCACCATGTGGTCAGTTCCTTCAATAGAGAAAAAAGTTTACGTGGTGGCTCCTTAATACTAGCAGGTAAATCATTGTTATATAAAGAACGTGAGGATATAGTGAGCCTCTCTGTTGAGCGAACTGTAGAAATGGCTTGTTTCGAGCTCGAGCACCTCATTGTTGTAAGTGTTTACAAGACACCCATGTGCTACTTATGACTATTTTGAAAGGATTGTGGAAGAAGTTTTGCTCAAACTTAGTAAATAGAACAAGTTTGTTGTAATATGTGGAGACTTTAACATCAATCTCCTTGAAACTTCTGCCATTAGTGTTAAGTTTAATTCAATGTTTAAATCGTATAATCTTGTCAATTTACTCTTAAAACCAACACGTATTGCTGGGCCTATTGCGATCTGTATAGATAACATTTTTACAGATGTTAAGCCCTTGCATAAATCAATTATTCAAAATTTAAGTTCAGATTACTATGTTGATATCATTGCCTTACATACACAAGAAACAGAAAAATAAGAAAGTTGTGTTTGTTCCAATAAATGAACATCGTTTGGAGAGGTTTAGAAGTAATATAATAAAAAGACTTCCATCACTTTCATTTAAAAATAGTGCTAATTATTTTATGGTACGTTATTTAAAACTATAACTTGTGTATTTAGTAGGATATTTACTTCTAAAACTTTCTCTTTTAACAGTCGCAAATCATTTAATGCATGGGCGACAGTAGGAATTTATAAAAGTAGGCGAAAATCATATGAGCATTATAAGGAAAGATCATATAATTGTAGTGTAGAGATTATGTAAAAGCATATTCTAAAATATTTAAAAAAGTGTGCACACAACTTCACATTTAGGTAATAAAATTAAAACTGCATCTAACAAAATTAAAATGACCTGGAAAATAATAAATAGTGAAACGGGAATTTTAATATTAACAATAATTTAACTCCATCTGATCAAGAAGTTGCTATGGTTTTTGAGAAACATTTTACTGATGTTCCTTTTTTGACAACTAAATCATTCAATTTTTCTCCTACTGTCGCCGTATCATTGCTTAAACAAAATGTAAAGGCTTGTTCAAATACTTTTAAATTCCATAGAGTACTGCCAAAAGATTTCATTAAATATTTTAAAACTATTGATGTTAAGAAAACGGCAGACTTATGAGGGATTTTGGTAAAGTTATTTTATCTATAATAGATAAAGTAGCACCTTATCTAGCCACTATATTTAATGCAAGCGTCGAATCTGGTGTGTTTCCTGATTTAATGAAACATTGTAAAGTCATAGCTTTATTTAAATCTGGTAATATATTAGACCCCGTCAATTTTAGACCAATTTCTGTACTACCAACTTTTAGTAAAATTTTTGAAAACATATTTTAGATCAAATATATAAGTTTCTTTGATATTAATAAATTGCTACATAACAATCAATTCGGTTTTACAAGGGGTCGCTCGACAACTGACGCTGGAGTTGAGCTTATTAAACATATTTTTTGTGGATGGGAGAATTCAGAGGATGCTTTGGGTATATTTTGTGACCTTTCCAAGGCTTTCGACTGCGTTCACCATGAAACATTAATCAGGAAGCTACAGTACTATGGTGTCAAGAACACATCGCTAAAACTTATCATTTCATATTTAAGTAAGAGAATGCAAAAAGTTGTTATCAATGATAAAAGTTCTTCCGGGTCACCTGTACTGATGGGTGTCCCTCAAGGCTCCATTCTCGACCTATTCCTATTTCTATTGTATAGTAATGACTTACCTTATCTTGTAGGGGATAATCATGATATAGATATTGTTTTGCAAAAGAGAGCCGTACGGGCGATTTATAATCTAAATTGTAAAGAATCCCTTAGAGAAAAATTTAAAGAAATAAACATATTAACTTTGGCATCGCAATATATTTATGAAAATGTAATGTATGTACATAAAAACATAAATAGCTTTAATAAGAATAAGGATGTTCATACCTTAAACACTAGGAACAAACATAAGCTTGTAATGCCACTTACAAGACTCCACAGAATTAGTAATTCATTTATGGGGCAATGTATACGCTTTTACAACAGAATCCCAGAACATGTTCAAAGTTTGTCAATAAACAAGTTTAAAAGTTTTATTAAAGAAAAACTGTACCAAAAGGGTTATTATAATATCAAGGAATACATGAATGAAAATAACCCCTGGGAATAAGGTGATCGCCACCATGCTGGTTCTATGAAAATTCATTTAAAATTGTATAAACAAAATTATTGTTAAGTGAAATTATGTTTAAAAAAAAGTCCCGCTGGGTTTCTTGCTGGTTCTTCCCAGGACAGAGGTATTTTCCGAACCAGTGGTAAATAAAATAATGACTTTCAATAAGTATTATGTAATAATCCATATTGAATAAAAATCATTCTATTCTATTCTATTCTAGTATTATTTGCTGATGATACTTCCTTGATTTTTAAACTTAAACGTCAATCATTTAAATATGACGAAGTGAATAATGCTATATCAAGATTAGTGCATTGGTTTAACGTTAATAATCTACATTTAAACGGAAATAAAAGCAAATGTATAGGTTTACAACAACAAATGTTAAAAATCTGAGTACTAATGTGTTTTTAAATGGGAAAGAACTGAGCCCTGTTGAATCCACTGTTTTTCTTGGCATCACTCTCAACGCAAAGCTTCAGTGCGGCCCCCATGTGTCTAAACTAGCAAGCAGACTAAGTTTTGCAGCCTATGCTGTAAAAAAGATTAGGGGTCTCACTAGTATCGAGTCAGCTACATTAGTTTATTTCAGTTATTTCCTTAGCATAATGTCTTATGGGATTTTGCTATGGGGAAAAACGGCTGATTCTGAAACTATTTTTGTTTTACAGAAGAGGGCCATTCACACGTGTACAGGCTCTCTCTATTACCAAGTTTAAATGTTTTGTTAAGTTGAAACTGTATAAAAAGGGTTATTATTGTATAAATGAATACATGGTTGATAATAACCCCTGGGAATGAGGTGGTCGCTTCCAAGCTGTTTCTAAAATTTATTTTGTATCTACCAACCATTAATGTAAAATATGCTTTAAAAAAAAAGTCCCGCCGGGTTTCTTGCTGGTTCTTCCCAGGACAGAGGTTTTTTTTGAACCAGTGGTAAAGTAAAAAATTACTTTCAATAAGAATTACACATGAGATCTATATTGAATAAAAATTATTCTATTCTATTCTATTCTATTCTCAGTGCGTCAAGAGACGTGTTCATTAAAATAGTCTTTCGCTTCAATGATTGGTAGTGTTCTGCCATCTGAGCGGCTGCATTACAGACTTTTTGCGATAGGGAATTGATTCTCAACTTTTGTTGAGAATTTAGTTTTCCCTCCTGGGCAATAACACTAAAATTTCATTAAGGCACTGTTCAATTGAGGTCACCCAATTTTTTATTTCACTGGTGACTAAAAATTAAATAGACTCTGCAGCATCATGGTTTGGGGGTTGAGGCGTGCTGAGTGTACTCCGAGGTGTAATTGTGCTCCATTTGAAAGGGCTATTTAATTTTTATTTAAATAAATACTGTTTATTATATTTTAGTTTTTAAATAAAAACTTTATTGCGTCCCTTTAGAAAAAAAAGGATACAAAGGGCGGACATAATGCCTCAAGGCATTCTCTACTAGTCAACTCATGGAGTGGTGAGAGTTTGTCGTAGGTGTAGCAATTAAAATAAAAAAAAAACTAAAATTAATACACATTATATGTACCAAATCAGTTTATGATATAATATTATAAGTGAATGCATATATATATATATTTATTCGCACATTAACATATTTTCGTATGTATTAAACGTGATTTCTTTTGAATTTTTTTATTGTAATTTGTTATTCACTACTGTAAGATTACAAAATGCAGAAACATTATAGAAACACAACATTGCTTTTACGACTGCTCGATTCTAGTTCCCTTAACGAAAATGTTAACTAGTAAATAACTTTTTATAAAAATATTTTCATTAAATGCTATGGTACTTAAAAGTTCTCGCCAACGTCAGAAACATAAAAAATGACACAATATAAGGGGAATTATTATTTGTCCAAAATAAGTTAAGTTAGATTATTCTTTATTTGATAATGATAGATTTTACTTGTTAAACTAAATTATCTCTCATTTCATACAACTAAGACACAAATAAAACACCGTTCTAATATAAACTTTCACCAAAAATAATATTACTTGCCTCGTAGCACTACGCTTAAAACGAACATATTCTTTAGCACACACGCGCAAATCTCACCGTGTATTACACCGAGTCACACAACAAAGCCAACACTAGTCTTTACATATTTCGTCGCGAATATTTACGACGACTCAGTCTTTATGTGTTTATTGGTCTGAGATGAGTACATTCCGAAGACATTTCTCTTAATCCGTAAGCTGCGCTTTTTCTTTACATAAGAAATTAAAATATCTTCATCTAAAGACGGTTTAAATCAGTACTGTGTTGTAAAGCCAAGTATTACAAGGGGCTTGTACATAATCTCAAGCGATTTTGAGGACCTGGAGATTTGTGCTTCAAGAAAATCTGAGAATGGATAAAAACTAAACGAAGTAAAGTTGCGAATTATTTGAAAAAATAAATTGTTGCCGGCAAGATGACAATCCTATTTCAAGTGATATCGACAGGAATTGGTAATGTTTGGGATTATATATCTTTATTATTTGATGTTGCTTTAATATCTTACAAAAGTATTTCTATTTATCTTAGATTTAAAATTCATATAGTATTACATAAATTGCATGTGGACATACATTAATAACTTATATGCCATACCTATATTCGTTTCGTACGTAGGGTGCCAAAATTTGTAAAGAGACAAATTAATTAATAGTTTTTTTTGAAGTAAAACTTTTGAAAAAAAAATTCTTGGGCGTTGGGCAATTTTGGATTGGATGGGGAAAAAGCACGGAACTAGCTTTTCCAGTACACATACACTCACACATACACACACACACACACATATACATATCGTGGTATCTCAGATGGTTAGCGCTCGATGTAAGCTTCACAGTACTCGAGCAACCCGGGTTCGATCCCCGCCGGCACCAATGAAGTTGTTAATTGCAATTTTAAGTGCTGATTTACCACGTGCTCGGTGGTGAAGGAAAACATCGTGAGGAAACCTGCATGTCTGAGAAATAAGAAAAAAAATATATTTCGAAGGCATGTGAAGTTTGCCAACACGCATTGGGGCAGCGCGTCGAACATTTCCTTGCCCTAAAACCCTCTCAGAAATGAGAGGAGGCCTGTGCCCAGCAGTGGGACGTAAATAGGCTGCAACTTTACTTATATATATATATATATATATATATATATATATATATATATATATGTATGTATGTATATTCTATACATATTTATTGTCTACTTTATGTTTGTGTGTGAAAGAGTCTTAAGATATTTCACGAGTATATTTTTTTTAACACAACATTTTGTTACCTTCATAAATACATAGAAAATTTTAAAGTGTAATGTAATTACATAAATGCGGTTCAAAAAGTGAAAAGTTTTCTTGTAAAACATGTATTACAGAGCACTGATAAGGCTACGAAATGATTACGGCGATGTTCTTTTTGAGTTATTTTGTAGTTGTGTGTTATTTTAAAACAATACATAGCGCAGATAACTGTCGAAAAGAACTTCGCTTACTTTATATAGGTAATAATATAGTTGGTCCAAATTAATTGGGCTTTAATCTTTTAAATGTGAGTAAAAAATATTGTATGAAAATAATTTGTTTAGACGTATAATCCAAACCACTGAACGTAGAAACGAGTATAATTTGAACAACAAATTGCTGTCTTTACGTAGACATCCACTAAGAAAGGATTATGGAAAATACAAGCCAATAGAAGGTAAAATAGGTGGGTGTTGCAGTTCGTACGACACTTTTTATTTAACGGGGTGATTTCATATTTTTATAGAGAATATTTTAATGATTTTTTTACTTTTAAAATTGGTACAAATACTTTTTTTGGATTGAATACACTATTTTTCATACAAACTTTTCACCCACATTTTGAGAGTAAATTTTATATTTATATTTTTGACAACTATAGCCTAGCGATGGTAAAATTAAGAGGATGGAAGGCTGCTTGACATTCTGCAATGTTTTAATTACCTTTTCCTTTGATTCCACTATTATAAGCTTTTAATTAGAAACTAAGTAATACGTGTTTAAGGATTTCGTACTAAGTAATAGGGGATGAAAGATATTATATAAATATAAGCTAACTTGAAGCAGTTTTCACTCAATCAATCAATAATTATTCATTATTAAATAGCAAGACATATTGAAGCAAACACAAAATTAAATTAATTAAGAACTTACAAAAAGCGGTAAAACAGTTTCTTTATAAACTTAAACATATGTGGACCCTACGGACTGACAAACTCTACAGAAAATGGCACAAATATATTGCCATTTCTGAGAAAGAGATGTTTGCTTTGTGTACTCAGCTTAGCCACCTCTCCGTCCCGGCTTCAAACGGGGTACCCCTGAGATATAAGGCCAACAAAGTGTCTACTCACGTAGTATCCCTTATTAGGGCTTTGCCTCTCTTCCAATGGGCTAAACTTATACTGTCAAGTATCTTGACATCGTGTCCAAATATAGAGATATTAGGCCTCCGGATATCATCGTCCTGAAAACTTTGATGTTACAAGCTATTAGCACATTTTTTTTACAACAAAGTACATGGAAGCAGAACTTGTCGACAGCGCTACCTAGATATAATTATATGGAACGTTATTTAAGCTTATTCATAATTACTTTGATAATACTTTTACTTCTTTAACATTCCCATTGAACACTTGCAAGGCATTCAATGAAACGGCGACATTAGATGTCCATGAGAACGTTCAATATGAACTTTACCATGGAAGGTCATATAATCCTAGCGTCAAAAAGTGTGCTCTATAGCCAAGTATGTATTTGAGCAACAAAATTAAGACGGCTTCTAATAAAATAAAATGACGAGGAGTATAATTAATATTGAAACTGGCAAGGTCAAGTCTAGCCATTAAAACTGCCCATTTAGTTGAAATAACAAATTAACTAATTTAATTAAGCTACCAACTCATGCGGTACCTTGAGGATCACCAGCTGATTAGTAACCGCCAACACGGTTTTCGTCAGGGTCGATCAGCTGGTGATCTTCTGGTCTAACTGACTCATAGATAGGCGGAGGCAGTAGAGGCATTGGCCGTTAGTTTGAACATTGCGGAGGCCTTCGATCGGGTTTGGCACAAAGCGCTTCTATCGAACCTCCCTTCCTATGGGCTTCCCGAGAAATTGTGCAATTGGATCACCAGCTTTCTTGCAGATCGGTTCATCAAGGCCGTTGTAGATAGTACATGCTACGTCTACAAGCCTATTAACGCTGGTGTTCCACAAGGCTGCGTGCCGTCACCAACGCTGATTCTTCTGCATATCAATGATATGTTGCAAACTGGTAGCATTCATTGCTATGCGGGTGACAGCACTGGTGATGCTCTATACACCGGCCGTGCCAATATTTCTCGGGAAAACGTCGCTGAGTACCGGAACAAACTTGTGTATGAAGTCAAGTCTTTGAGATTGGGGGCGACTAAATCTAGTCCAGTTTAATGCTCAGAAGACACAGCTTTGCGCGCTTATCGTTAAAAAGAACCCCTTTGTCGTATCTCCTCAGTTTCAAGGTACTCCCCTTGTTGCCTCAGCCAAAATCGAAATCCTCGGCGTCGACATATCGAGTGTCGTGCAGTTTCGTGGTCACTTCGAAGAGAAGGCCAAACTGGCCTCTATAAAGCTTGGCGTGCTCAGCAGAGCGAGACAGTATTCCATGCCGGCACACCGCCTGTAACTTTACAAGGCTATCTCTGGGCTGGGGCTCCACAATGTAGTTTCCTTCCACTTGAACGCATACAGTGCAGAGCGCAGATTCACTTGCGCTGCGAAGAGATGTAGCATTTCTTTGCATTTTCTTTCGCATTTACCACAGGGAGTGCTCTGAGGAATTGTTCGGATGAATCCCAGCCGCCAAATTTCACGAACGCACATCGTGGCAATACTCTCGATACCATTAACACCATCTGGATGCTTGGTGGTCCACCACAATAGTTTTCATTAGCAGTTTTCTTCCGCGAACGACCACTCTGTGGAATAATTTACCACCGGCAAGTTTTCCCAACCGATAAGTCTTAGGGACCTTCAAGAAAAGAGCTTACACCTTTTTAAAAGGCCGGCAACCAAAGAGATTTAAATATATAGGTAAACTATAGAGTGGATATTGGGAACATTTATATACAAAAACTTTGAGCTAGTGCGCGTGTGGCGCCCTCTAGCTAAAATATCAAAACAACGCTAAGCATTTATTAAGACAAAATTTTAGCTATTCCCCAGTAGGTGACGCTTATAAATATAACGTCGCTTTAGGAGTGTTACCGTTTCGATATCAAAGTATCGATAATGTTGTTGAAGATTACTAAGTTTGAAATGGTTTTCGATTTAAATATATGAAACGAATGCGTCTTGACTTTTTAACGATGTCACTAAGACTAAATGACAAAAATCGGAGATATATCCTATAGGACATAAGTTACAGGCGACAATTTTGCTGCTGATGTCCGATCTATTACTATTACTACTTAAATGTCTTTGCCGGCAACGCACCTGCAATTCCCCTGGTGTTGCACTTGTTCATGGGCGGCGATCGTCACTTACCATTGGGCGATCGTAAGCTAGTTAGGTCGCTCTCCTATAAACAAAAAATTTAATTAGGACGTTGCAAATGTTTTTGAGAAATATATTGCTGATATTCCGATCTGAGGTCACTGAATGCCTCTCATGCCGTCGCCGAATCATTACTCAAAAAATTTAAATGCGTGTGCAAAGAATTTTGCATTTCATTTTTTTTTTATAGGATGAGGTGACAAACGAGCACACAGTCCACCTGATGGTAAGTGGTTGCTGCGGCCCATAGACATCTACATCTATCCTCTGTTACAAATCAAAATGTAGATCCGTTGTCACCCGTGAGGACTAAGATGGAATGCCTCATTTCCAGTAAAAAGGGCCTCCGGCCACCTGCACTCACCAAGCGAAACGCAGAGGTAAACCTCTACTTCACGCTGGTTTTCTGTGAGGTCGTGGTACTACCCCGGTTCGAGCCGGCCCAGCCACGCGACAGCAAAAGCTGCCGCGTGGCTCTACCACTGTTTGAAATAGTATCAAAAATATATATATCATAAATTAGTATCAAAAGTTGTGTTAAAAGATTTAAAAACTATTGATATTAACAAAACCGCAGATCTGTGGGGGATCGTTGATGATGTTATGTTAAAGTAATTGTATCTATAATAGATACAATTGCACTTCAACTAGTTATTATTTTAATACCAGTATCGAATCTGGTGTGTTTCCTGATTTAAAGAAACATAGTAAAGTGACACTTTCATTTAAATCTGGTAGTAAATTGGATCCAGCCAATTTTAAACCTATTGCTGTACTGCCAACACTTAATAAAATTAAAAAAAAATATTCTTGATCAACTGTTAATTATTTTAATGTAAATAATTCACTCCATAAAAATCTATTCGGTTTCACAAGTGGTCGTTTGACAACTGATGCTGATATTGAGCTGATTATAAT